CTGGGTGCCGGGCGAGGGCTGCAGAGTCCTCTGGGTGCCGGGCGAGGGCTGCAGAGTCCTCTGGGTGCCGGGCGAGGGCTGCAGCATTCTCTGAGTGCCGGGCGAGGGCTGCAGAGTCCTCTGAGTGTCGGGTGAGGGCTGCAGCATTCTCTGGGTGCTGGGTGAGGGCTGCAGAATATTCTGGGTGCCGGGCAAGGGCTGCAGTGCCCTTTGGGTGCCAGGTGGGGGCTGCAGCGTCCTCTGGGTGCCAGGTGAGAGCTGTAGTGTCCTCTGTGTGCTGGGTGAGGGCCATGCCTCTAAGGAGGCTCCTCCCTGCTGCTCTACTCTTGGGCTCTGAGGACACCCAGGGGTCCAGGAAGCCATGGCTGTGGGGGTCTTGAGGGAGAGCCTCTCCTCTGGAGTGGCTTTCAGACAAGATTCTGTATTCCTCCTGGTCCAGTGTCTCCGGCTCTCCCACTGTGCGGTCTCCAGGGCTCTGGGTGCCACCTGGTGCCGGTGTTTGTGTGGCAAGGCTCACAGCACTCCCTGCAGCTGCCATCTCCCCACAGGCTTCGATACCAGGTTTGGGTCGTTCATTTAATGAGGACAGTGGGTTCTCGCCAAAATCATGGCTGGTGATTTCCTCGGCTGCCTTCAGGGTCTGGGCGGACTCTGTTAGTCGTGGCCTTCTGTGCTTCTCCCTCGCAATGGGCATGTTCGTGCCTGTCGGGGTGACACCCCCAGGCCCTATATACTCCTGGGATGGTGCTGCCAGCGATGTGGGGGCACCTGTTGGATTTCTTCTGGTCGGGGATGGCACTTGCTGGCCACCGGAGGCATGGCCAGTGTTTCCCCTCAGACGGTTCTGCGAGGCTGTGGGAGAATTTGCTGTGGAGCCCTTGTTCTGCACAGATACTTCATTTGATTCTTGTAACAGATGCATCTCATCTCTGAGCTCACAGGTCCTCTCTCCTGAAATATGCTCAGGATTCCTGGGACCATGTGAACTCTCAAAGCTGCCTTTGAGAATTCCCTTCCCACCAGCAGGATCTGTCCGGGTTCTCTGTGCCAGAGCCGTCTCTGAGACAGGGTGGCTGGCGCCTGCAGCTCCTCTCGCTGCCGGATGCAGAGCTGCTCGTGGTCCCTGTGGTGAGGAGGCACCGAGTCTCACCTGTGTCCCCGAAGGCTTGCTGGGTTCCACTGGGGCTCGGTTATCCCTTCTGTTCTCAGTCACCGTAGAAAATTCTGTGTGTGCCTTTTCAGCCACGTTCTCTCCTCCAAAAATACGAGAACATTGGTTTTCACCACTTGATGCATTTTGCAGCGTGGTGGGAGAGGCAGGCATTTTGTGGACGACTGGGATTTGGACAGTTATCCGTGGAGGCTCCGTGCTGGGCTGTGTTGTCCTAGCAGCCTGGACCGATGGCGTGTTCATGGGTGGGATGTGTTCTGGCACCTTCTGTTCTGGGAAATACTTCTGGGTGGCAAAGAGGGGGTCTCTCCCCGGGTCTGGGAAGCCTGTTCCTTCCGTTTCATCTTCTGAGATGCAAACAGTCATGGTGATTTCAGGGCCCTCCCCTGCACCCTCGCCCGTGGGACGAGAACACCACATGATTGTGGCTCCCCTCACCTCCTGCACGTCGTCTGCAGCGCTCTTTGCAGGGGGACCCCACGGGCTGGCGGGTCCCAGTGGGGATGATGCAGGCACCAGGCCAGGACGGGCTTCGCCTGTGCGGGGAGCACAAGAGGGGGCCAATGAGGGGCCAGCGTGGCCGTCCCTCCAAGCCGTCACCTGGGGCGTCCCGGGCTTCAAGGGGCTCGGCCGTCTTTGGGGCTCCTCCTCCGAGGACCCCTTTCCCGCTGCTTTGTTCCCACTGGGCCCCGTTTCCCCCGCACTGGGGGGCATGCTGGTCTCTGCCCTGGGCAGCCGCCTCGCCTCCGAGTGGCTGATTTTGGTGCAGTGGGACAGCCAGCTCCTGGGGCCGCAGACGACGGTGGCGACGCTGAGGGCCGGCAGCGGATCGGCGGTGCAGGCCAGGAAGCGGGCGGCGGGCGTCCTGACGCAGCTGCTGGCCATGGCGGCCGTGTGCAGCACGCGCACTTCCGGCCGGTGCATCCGCTTCCGCTGCAGGTTCCGCCTCTTCCGCTCCTCCGTGCGCAGCCGCAGTGCGCCGGCCTCGGAGCACAGGCAGCTGGCCTGCTCGAACCTCTCGCGGAGCTTGGCCAGCACCGAGCTCTTGCCCACCACCTTCGGCAGGAGGCCGCGGGCCCTGGGCCGCTCCGCCGGGGGCTTCTCTCGCGCGTCTTTCTCCTTCGCCTCCTTCTCCTCGGCGGCCAGGAACTTCTTGAGGATGCTCTTCACGGGGCTCTTCGCGGCCGGGTGGCCCCAGTGCGGCTTCTCGCTGGGGCGGGGCTTCGGCGCGGGCTCCCTGGTCTTCTCCAGGAGCTTGTTGATGGTGGCGCCCACGACGCCCCTGCCCGGCCCCTGCTTGTCCCTGCAGATCAGCCGGCCCACCTCCCGGGTCCTCTTGAGGCAGCGCTCCCGGCCGGGGCCCAGGAACTTGGCCTGCAGGAGCTGGAAGCGCGTGGGCCGCTGGGCGGCCTCCTGGGGCGGGGGCTGGGGCCGGGGCTGGGGCTGGCGGCCGGCCCTGCTCTCCGCGGCCTCGGCCCCCGGGGGCCGGTCCGCGCGGCCCGTGACGTAGAGCAGCAGGCTGCCCAGGATGGCGCGGGCGGCCGGGTCGCAGGCCATCTTGCCCATCTTCTTCTTCAGGGCCTGGGCGTCGGCGGACATGACGTCACTGCAGGTCTTGCTGCGCTTCGGGCTGCGGAAAAAAACGAATCGTCACTTGATTTTATCATCGTTGTTTTTCCAAGATGACTCCATAGAACATGTCTCAGGGGCCAATCCCATGTTCTCAGGGGCCCCAGGAGTCTGGTAGGGAGAAAAAGAGATGGGAACTAGGAGCTTTGGCTTCTGGGCTGTCCCTGCTGTTAACTCGGGGGTGTCAGGGGTGCCAAAGGTTTTCCGGGTCACCGTGTTCCTGTTAAATGTCAGGAACTTCTGACCCACGCTCCTCCGTAGGCCGTGAGGAGTTCACGTCTAACAGCTTTGTGAAAGCATTTGGAAAACCGCTTTGCATATGCAACATATTTAAAAAAATTTAACAAATACATTTTGCTTGTACAGTAGGTAAAACAGCAAAGTATAAAGAAACGTCTATTCTCTGTGTGGCCTGTGTATGTCTCTACCTTTAAGTAAGAGATAAAATTAACATCTTAAATTCTGCCATGATCCTGAGGACCTGGGTCCCTACAGCAGAGCTTCTGAAGATTCCCCCAGACGGCTCAGGTCTGGGGTGAGTGGAGAGGGGGAATGAATTTCTTTACAAGCTCCTGAGCGGGAACTATTACTGCAGTGGCCAGCGGCCCCCCAAGAGCAGGAGAGGGTGGGCCTCGATACAGAGAGAGAGGGAGGAGGGGGCTGTAGAGAGGACGGGGTTGCAGAGAGGAAGGGAGGAGGACTGGGGTCACCTGGCTGGGTCTCCAGAACCTCTTTCAAAATGGCTTTCATAATGGCTCAGAGGGCCCCTGGGGCTGACCGCTGCCGCCCCTTCCCAGTGAGACTTTTTTCTACAGGTCCACCAGGGATTCCTTCCCACCAGCCCAGCTTTCAAAGAGATGGGACCAAGTGGGTCCTGGCTGGAGAGATGGGGTCTTTGTGATTTGATTTGATGGTGTTTTCTGAGCCCAGGTGCAGGTTTTCTGCTCCTGAGCAGCCGTGACCACAGGAACAAAGCTGGAAGGTCCCCCTGTCTGTGGCGGGGGTGGAGCCGTCTCTGACCTCTCCAGATGGTAATTTTGTGCAGAGGCACCCAGAGTCTTAGCTGTCGCACCTGTTAGTCATTCATTCTAAGGAGTTCATCAGAGATGAAGAACAGACTCAAGTATTTCAGGAAAAGGCACCTTCACGGTGCTGTTTATGATGTTGAAAAATCAAGAGCACCCTCAATGTCAAACAAGCCAGGGCGGCTGCACAAGGGCACGTCCACGTTTGTGGGAGGAGAGTCGGCGGCCAGATGGGGCTGGTGACGTGGCACCAAGTGAAAAGCTCACTCTGCTCCGATTTTTTCAAGAAGCTGAACAGGCTGAAAACAGAGTGGAAGGAAATGTGTGAACATACTTCTCTTTCTGTGTTTCTCTGCATTTTTTCCAAAAGGGAGCTCTGTTTTTGAAGCCATGGATGGATTTCCTTGTGAAAATCTGTTGCCGAGCAGCTGTGATGGGGGAGGTGACAGTAGCTGACCACGTGACCACGTGGCCGTGTTGCCGTGGGCACACAGTGACCCAGGGCCAGGACAGACCGCACACGAAGGAGTGGCAGGGCCACAGATGGAACACAGGATCCCGATTTCTCAGCCTCTCTGAGATGCCTCCCTACCTGGGTCAGTGAGTTCCTGTGGCCAGAGTGTGTGCTGTTTGTCCACAGACCCCAGTGGGCACTGGTGCATCAAGAGGCCTTGCTGAGACCCGGATTTCGGGGCTGCACTGCCAACACCTCCCATCCACGGTCTGGGGCAGGCCCTGGGAATCTGCATTTTAAGGAGTTCCTGATGACTCCGATGCTGCTGGTCCCGGGACCCCACCAAGAACCACTGAGGCGGACGCTCCTTCCAAACCCACCGAGGAGGAGACACGGAAACAACTCTGAACCTGGGCAAGGGCACCGCATGCAGTGAGCGGGGACAACTGTAAAAATAAACTAATCCAAGGAGCAGCTGTGCGTCCTGGCCAGGGACACCCTTGTTCTGAGTCATCGGAGCCCACCCAGGAAGGCGCTGCTGTGTCCCCATGGCTGGTAAAGCCATCCCGGTGGTCCCAGAACTGCCCTGGCCAGCGGCTGCCCACACCCCCCTGAACCCAGAATGGATGGGTGCACCCTCCACCGCACTGTGGGGAAGGGGAGGGCAGAGGAGCAGCCGACCTCAGGGTTGGGGACCAGCCTGGGGTGTCCTGCTCCCGTTAAAGGCTGCACCTGCACCCCCTGGCCATCACAGGGTCCATGGCCCTACCTGCCTTCCACCAGGCGTCTCCGGGCACGTCCCCTTCGCTGTGATTCGGGTGCCTAAGGAGAGCTGTGCTCCTTTACCCGAGGAGGCTGATCTCAGGCTGTTGTCAACAGAGCCTGTCACGCGTTTTGTCCCCACTCACTGGGTGGTTCAGTCAACTTAGTGACTCTGCAGGTGAGTCATTCAGATGACTGAACCAGCCACACTGACCGCCTGAGGTGGGGACATTCTGATCATCTGAATACAAAGACCACAGGCTCAGCCGCATGTGACATCAATCTGCCACTTCTCACATCCCTCGCTGATGGCTCCTGAGCCCCACTGTCCAAATAGAAAGATGAAAAACAGCTGGAATTAAACTAGTTCATCCTCCTGCCTTGATAGGAAGCAAGTTTGGAAGGAGGAAAGTAAATGGAGCTTCACGCTGACTCTAAATTCCCACTTCCCTGACCTCAGGTGTCGGGCAGCTGGGCGATGGGACCACCACCCCAACTGGGAGCCCCGTATCCAGGCTGAGCACCTGTTCCGGCTGCTGCGGCTGTGTCGGGGGGACCCTCATAGGTTGCATGTCCTCCTTGTGAGTCATGGTGTCTGGGAATCCAGTTTAGCTCTCACATCACACAGCTAAGTCTGTAACCATTTGTGAGGTCGGTGTCATCAGGACCTGGCCAGCAGCCCACAGAGTGAACAGCACACAGAGGTGACCTTGGAGGATGTACTAGGCCGCCCCGTCCAGCTCCTCAGCCGTCACAGCAGGCTTTCACTCCGCAGCATGATCATCTGAGAAATGTTCTCACCCGCAGAGATCAGGATGCTCTTCTGGGTTTATCGCTGAGGATCAGGGAGTTCAGCCAGAGCTAGAAAGTCCTCTTTGAGGTGAGCCCTGCCTTGCTGTGGCTGTTGGAGGTGTCAGCGGTTCAGGACGACACCCTCGGCGGGAGAGAGAGAGGATTCCACAACCCCTTCACGGAGCCTTTGTGTTCGCAGTCATCATTAACCGAGGTCCTTCCTGGATCTGGCCTGGCCACTCCCCCGATCCCTGCTCTCCTGCCGTCTAGCTGGGCTGCCCCTCCCTGTCACAAGGACCTGTGCCCACCATCCACTATTGCACTCACCCTCTCTGGTCCCACCCCTGGCAGTAGCCCCAGAGGAGCTGTGGTCTCTGGGTTCCTTGAACCTGCAGGTGGTTCCTTCCTCCGGGGTCTGCATGACCTGTCCCCGCCTCTGTTCTGCCCTCTGGACTTCACTGGTCGGGGCATTCTGGGCACCCATGGCCCACGGCTGTTGCTGGCATGTCCGGGTGTCTCTCACTGGTGACACCAGGTGTCACAGCACTCATCATTTTCTAAGATCCAAGTGCACTTTTAAACAGGTCACCTGTTTTTTGCCCAGCTCCCCACCAGAGCACGGCCCCTCTGTGGGCAGGACCCATGCTGGTTTTGATCTCCACTTTCCCGAGGCCAGAGCAGTGCTGCGCAGAGCAGGGTGGGCCAACAGCAGACCCGTGGGCGGCGAACAGCACCCTCGGATGCTCTGTTCACCCAACCCCAGCAGCATCCGTGGAAACTTGGTTCACCCACCCTCATCAGTGCCCACAGAGACTCAGTTCACTCACCCCAGCAGCACCCCATGGATGCTCAGTTCACCCACCCCCAGCAGCACCCACAGAGACCCGGTTCACCCACCCCCAGCAGCGCCCCGAGGAGACTCGGTTCACCCACCCCCAGCAGCACCCTCGGAGACTCGGTTCATCCACCCCCAGCAGCACCCTCGGAGTCTCAGTTCACCCACCCCCAGCAGCACCCACGGAGACCCGGTTCACCCACCCCTAGCAGCACCCACGGAGACTCGGTTCACCCGCCCCAGCAGCACCCTCAGAGACCCGGTTCACCCACCGCGCAACCCCCTTTCCCTCCTCGCTTTCCGGCCAGTTCCAGCCTCCACCCTGCCTGCCCTCTCCATGTCCAACCACACTTTGGCCTTCAGCCTGGAACAGCCTTGCTGCCTCCCTGACAAGCTCCTATTCATCCTTCACAACCCAGCTCAGACACTCCCTCCTCAGGGAGCCTTTCCCAGAGGCCCATCTCTGCGACATCCAAAATTACCCACACAGACCTCTGTGTCCCCACAATGGGGAACAGCAAGGACGCCAAGAACACCCCTAAGTCACGGACTCAGAGAGGCCCCAGGACTTTTGGCCAACTTGCCCACAGGGCCCTGAGCGTCAGCTGAGGCGCACTGTGACTGAGGCTTCCCTCGTTGCCAGTCCCACAGTCCGGCAAAGGTCCCCCTCCCTCCGACCCACTCCCACCCCTGCTGCTGCCTGGTTGCTGAGTGAACATATCCCCACGTGCCTGAGCCCATGCTGCCCCTCGGGCCATCAGCCCCGCTCCTCAAAGCCTCCCACAAAGGCCCCTGGTCAGAGTTGAGCTTGGAGTCTGGCCACCTGGTGTGACCACTACGTGCCCAGCAGGCCTCCCTCAGCGTCCCCTTGGCACTTGGACGAGCTGCAGAGCCCGCAGAGAATGGAATGTCTTCCTCCCAGGGGCCAATATAAACAGCAGGGTGCCCGGCTTTCCTGATTTAGTTGTCGATGGCTCTGGCCAGCCACAGAGGTTGCTTGAAAATACAACGAGACCAGAGGCCACCACAGTGCAGGAGAAACAGCCGGCCCGCCATGGCATGGAGGCCCACCGTGGCATGGACAGCAGCACCGACGGCAGATTCTTTGCTGGGGACCTTCCAGCCAGCAAGGCCTGGCGGTCACTATTCTGCCCAGTCGGCG